CTGAAGCATACAGGGGAGAAATACCGCTTCTGTCTTGTATATTTACTTCCCACAGAAATGGTAAACTGTTTCTAGGGATATTTTCCATCCTTTCCACTGCCCTGTGTTCAGCAGCCATAGGTCTGCTTCCCACCTTTCTCTGTTAAGGTTTTGGCTGCAGTTTAAAAATGGTCCTTGGCATGTTTTTTTCTGGAATGCAGATCTTTTTGGATTTTTTAGGAAGTGGTTCTGCAATTCAAAGATATAGTCTGGAAGATCCCCTGGGAGGTGGGCCATCTTATAGCTGATGAAGCTAGGGCACTGAAAGGGCAAGTGATAGAACAGCTTCAGTGAACAAAAGATCAGCCCCCCAGATCATGCCTGAGCCCATAAATGTATTTATTTCTAAATACCAACTGAAACACATGTATAAAGACCCGTGGGTTTCTTCCTCTGCAGTGTTCAACTTCATGTGGGAATGGCATTCAGACACGGCAGGACTTCTGCCTCAACCTGCTAACCCGTAAGCACGTGAACCCCATCTTCTGTAGGCACTTCCCCAAGGCCATTGTGGTACGTGGCTGCTCCGCAGGAGCCTGTCCTGAGCAGGTGGTGGGGACTGGGTCCCATGGAGCAGGACTGCAGACAGTGACGCCAGCCGCGCATCTGACGACAGCTGCCACTGCCAAAGAGGCAAGATACAAGGACCTGGATCTTCCTCCATCTGCTGTGCCAGAACAGGCAAAGACCGGTGGAGGTGAGGAGGACACTACCAAAAGGTAGAGATGGGGCCTTACTGTGTGCAGCTGGGTTGTGGTGACCCTACTGCCATACAGGGACAGGAGCATGGGAGGGAATACGCCTAGTTAGGAGGAACAACATGCTGTTCCTTCCAGCATGCCATGAGCTGTCCATGTTATCTGGGCTAGGAACAACGGCTCCCTTCCCTGGCCTTCCCAAAGCTCTTCTGACTTGGGACTCCTTGGGGCAGCAGCTGACTCTTCCTGTGCTTTTTACCCAGAAGGTGTGCGCTTGTCCGTTCATTGTGCCATGAAAGGAATGGGGGCTGTTTTTCAGCAGCTGTAGTTCCTTCTGGATGTCTTTCTCATCTGTCTCTGCTGTACAGGTGTCTGTGGAAAGCTCTTTCTTAATGCCACCGGGGTCATCAACATGACTGGTGTAGAGAACAGCGAGTGCACTGTGGCCATCGGACGGCCTCTCAGGGAGGAGATAACAGTCAGCATCCTGGAGAGCTCCCTCAACTGCACTGCAGGTACTGCCCAGGGCGTGCTGGGGACTAGCCTGGCCCTTCGGGAAATCCGCACCTCTTTTGCCCCTGTGCTTTTGGTGCCCTGAAAGGTTCTTGCTGCCTTGGAGCCTCTGTAATCTCTGAAACCATTTCACAAGTTTTCCTGTCCCACCAAATCATTGCCAGATGGGACTAAAATGCAGGTGATGCCTTTCCTCCCCCTACATCATGGTTTCTTACCTGTTTTGGTGATAGATATGAGATGAAAGGAGTTTATGGGGTTAAAGAAGCTGCTTGCTTTGGCCTGTTATAAACTCTCTCTGTAATATACCCTCTTGCTGGAATCGGTACAGTTAGTTTAGTTAACTGGGCTGTTTTCATGACAGATTTTGATAAGGTAGGGACAAGATGCAGAAATTGCTTGATTCCAGACCTGTATAAGATAGGTTGTGGACTTTTACTTAAGTAAAAGTGTTTCTAGTCTCTGTGCTCATCCATTCCAGGTGAGGTATTGCTGTTTTCTGGGCGAATGATGTGGCGGACAGGCTGCAGGAAGCTCCCTTTGTCACTGATAAATTCCAGAACGAATACACTGATTGTGAAACAGCGTGTTTTCCTGCCAGGAAATGGAGTCATTCTTCAGTACAACAGCAGAACTGCAACTAAAAAATATTACCAAGGTATCTTACTGAAAGCTTTGCTATTGCTTTGGATTAAGGCACCCATGACAAGGCCCACAGAGTTCCATGGCTCATGGTTGCCTATGGAAATCTATGGAAACCTGGCTTCATTTTTAGCAGCTAATAAGCCCCTTCTTGAGGAGCGTTGGAATTAATTAGTTGTGGACTACCCCTCCGTTTTAAAGGCAAGCCCCCTGCAGGTGTTTGCTGGTGCTTGGAGATTCCCAGATGAAAATCCTTAGAGAAACCTTTCTGCCTGTGTTTAATTTAAATGATTTCTTTCTCGGAGATGCTGGACACTTCTCTAAATCATTTTCTTTTCTGCTCCCTTTCCCCCTCTCAGACTGTGACAAGCAGGTGTTTGGTCCCCAAGGTGAAATAGTGAATCCTGTGCAACTGCCTGATCAAAGGCAAGAGGTGGTGTGTCGGACCTTCATCAATGTGGCTCCTTGGCATCGCATAGCTATCCGCGCCCTGTATATTGACCTGGGCCCTACCAGCAACCAAACACATTTTAATTACATCCTGGTGAGTCAGAAACCTAAAAGGGGTGATTTGGATGGGAACAGCCTCATCTCCTCATTAGAGATTTCCATCCCGATGCAGAGTTCAATCACAGATCCTAGAGGCTCAGGCTCTGATCTCTGTTACGTAAAGGTAGATGTGAATGAGCACTACTGCTGTCTGCTGCATTTCTTCTAACCTTTGTATAGAGCAGCTTTTCCCGCTGAGTGACCAATTTGCAAGTCCCCAGTATTTTGTGTGTACTTCACTCGTAGGCTGCTATGATATAATGGTTTGGTCTTTCTTTATGCAGGTCCGTGATGTAAGCACCATGAAGACGATGGTGTTCCATGGGAAACAACAATTCTTCTGGCAATCAACAGGGAGCCAAGCTGAAATTGAATTTCATGAAAATGTTAAGGATCACCAGACCAGTTTCTGGGCTGAATATCGTGCTATTGAGCCCAAATAAAAGGGGCCAGGGCCGCTGCACTGAGAAAGGCCATGGTCCAGTTAGTCACTGCTGCCTGTTCACTGCTTGAGATCGCACGAGTCATTTAATCTTTTTGCAACTGTTTCACCATCTATTGAGTAAGAACAATAATACCTACTGACTCCTTTGGGATCTCGGTTAATATTCATAAAGGTTATGGAAGGTCATGTAACTACCAAGTATTCAGCAAATAGTCCTCATATGGAGTTTCTGGCTGTGTTGATTGGTATTAATGCAGTTTACATGTCTGCAGTTAGTGACTTGGACACTGAAGCCTCAGGGTCCTGCTTCTGTAATACGCTGTGACCCTTTAGGATAGTCATTTAATTTCTCAGTGGCTCAGTGTCCCATTACAAACCTCTGTGTACCACAAGTAGCTGTGATTATGGTGTAGCCATTAAGTTCACTCTCCTGCAGTGTAAATGCTCCTTAAAACTGAGGTCCATTGAAATTCTGGAACGTTATAAAGAAGGCAAAGATGTGTACGAGGACGAACTGTTAGTGCAAGAAGACTAGAGACGTGCGAGGGCAAGGCAGTTTCTTTGCCTGGGAGGGTAGTGCAACACTAGGACAGGTCGCTTGGAAAGCTTGAATGTTTTCAGGAGCTGGCTAGACTGAGGCACTGCTGGCCTGGTCAAGCCCTGGTGACAGTTGGCTTTATATGGGAGGGCTAAATGACATCCAGGGGTCCCTCCCCAGCCACCCCTTCTGTGCTTCTACTATTCTATATCTGACAGTGATACCAGTGCGTCTTTTCTATGGGAAAATAAAAGAATTCTGTCTCTTAATGATGGGTTTGGTGCAAAGACATACTTACTCAGATAAGAACAGTAGCTGTGCTATTAATCTGCTTGTATCTTCATCTCACAGGAACTGTGCAATGAGAGATTGTTGAGTTTGTAGCAGGAAGAGGTATTTTAGAGCAGTGACAAATATTCACTCAAGTTTGATTTAAATACATCTTTTAGGTTGTTTTTATTTAATATCTTGAACATTGGACCATACTTTGGTCCAAATCTGTCATCCTCCTCAAAATCACAATATATTGCTTAAGGGGTCTTTTCCGCACCTGGAGCCTGGCTGGACACATCTGCCCTTGCTCTTCATGCTGGATGCAATAAATGGTTCTGCCTGGGCAGGTTTAACCCTGCTTCTGCTTTCTTTCAGTTGAATTGTCTGACGTCTTTTTACAACTGCAAAATCTTATTTTCCTCTGTCGTCTTAATAGTTGTCTTTTGCTGGTTAAGCCTGGAGTTTTTTGCTTGCCAGCCTCCAGATTTACGTTCCATTCCTGGAAGAGCTAGAAAGTAGATTCTTGAAGCGAGATCCTCGAGGAGCTGGATAGATCAGCTCTCCCACTGCAGTGCGTGGGTGATGCAGGCACTGGGCCTTCATTTCCTGTCGAACAGGAGATGTTAATGAAAAGACATGCTTTTCTTAATCCTTTTTTGTAACCTTTTAGCAGATGGGATCTGTCTTCCCACTCTGCTCTGGATCCCAAGTCTCATTGCTATTTATTGTTCCAGATCAACTACGCAGAGTCCCTGGTCTGCAGAGATGGGCTCTGCTTACTGACTCTACGCTCCGTGTTAATTTGCAAAAAATGCAGCTGTGGTCTTGATAATTTAAGAGAATTAAGACTGTTTCTGTGTACCAGTTGTTTGGATACCAACAAATTGCTAACTAGGACATCTCTGACTTGCAAAGTCCTACTTCTACTCCCATTTTCTAGGGAGAAAACCCGATCCCATTCAGATTAAAGGGAGTGTTTCCCTCTTATCGCGAGGGCAGAATTTTGTAACACCGTTAAGTTCACGTTAATGCAAAAATTCATGGTTCCCTTTCTTCTGAGCACACGCTGGCTGCCTGGATAACAGCATCTAGCTGTTAGCCAGGGGAAGTGGGACCTGGAGCTCCTGTGCGCCCAGACCTTGGCGTGGGGTGAGCTGTGCGCCCAGACCTTGGTGTGAGGTGCCTGCCTGCGCGGCTGCTTATGAATATGTACACGATGGGCTCTGCCCACCAGCCTTTTAATGAGAGTGACATCAAAGCCCTGCCTGCTGGAGGAGGGGACCCACAATGCAATACGCAGGCAGACGTGGAGGCAGCTCCCACGGCCGCTGGCATCGCTGCTGCAGGCAGAGAGCCTCCATTGTCAGCCCTGGGGGGGCCGCCGGGGGCCAGGCCCTGCATGGGGGTGCGGGGAGAGGCCCAGCGGTGGCAGGGCTGGGTTTAGGGGCTGTCTCCTGGGCTGGCTGGAGGGGGACACGGGGCGAGTGTCACCTGGGGGGGGGGCATCCCGTGCTGCTGGGGCTCAGGCGGGGAACGGGGTGCTGCCCCCTGACCCCCCGGGAGCAGGGGTGCGATGAGCTCTCAGGATGAGCAGTTCCAAGCAGCAGCCCCTGACCCAGCGGCTTCCTCCGCCGATGATGGCATGACCTGGTGGTACAGGTGGCTCTGCAGGATTGCCGGGGTCATCGGGGGCATGTGTAAGTATCCCCTTCCCTTGCAGCCAAGGTCCCCCCTCGGCACCGCTCGTGCATGCGAAAGCGCGCGTCGGGGGTCCTGCCTGCCTCTCCTTAGGGTCACATTTGTGTAGGGGGGTGTGCCATGGAACAAGTGTTTGGGGTTAGGGGTTTGTGTCTGCTCTAGACATTAGTTTGCTGCGTTTCGGGCAGAAGGAAGAGTCGTGGACATGCCTGAAGCGGGGTTCTTTTAGCTGGCACACGAAGGATGTGCTTTGCGCTCACCGAACTTGCTGAACTTTGGCACCTGGGAGAAGGGACATCACGGGGGGATCTGCAAATCCTCATTTCTTCTTGGGTAAAGCACTTGCTGGAAGTGATAGGAGCAGCAGCTGAGCCCCTGGTCCTGCGGGAGGGCTGTGGGCCGATAAACCAGACGGTGATGTTACTGCGAGCACCAGGCTCAGGGCGCTCAGCAGGGTCAGGTTCAGGGCTTGAACAGGAGCCACGGGATTTGGTTCATCCTATTGGACTGTGAGGTGTCTGTATGTTCCTGCAACTTATTTTTTTCCCCGTTCTGAACGTCGGAGCATGGTTCCTGTTACTCCTGTTGTGGATTACAGAGGGCCTGCCTGTGTTTTTTTTCAAGGCGAATAATGGACTTGGTTTGTGTTGTGTGTTTTTAAGGGATTTAGCCTTGGACACAGAGAAGGAGGGAGCCAGCGTACAGCAAAGTGAGCTGGCTGCGCTCTGAATTACCTGCTGCTGAAAAAAATTTTCCCAGGGAAAGAAAGTCCTTGCAACTTTGCCAGAAATCAGCCTGTCCTGTAGTGCTGTTTTGCTACATTCTGTGGAGAGATTAATAGCTCTTAAAAGCAGGAGGGACTGTTATGACCGCTTAGTCTGATCTCCTGCAGAGCACAGGATGGAGAATTTCTTCTGCTTCAGGTCCATGACTTCTAGTAAAACAAGAGCGTTTCTCAGCCAGTGCAGTCAGCCCTGATTTATTCCCTCAGCTGTAGCGTTTGGTCTGATCCCCCTTTCTCTCTGCCCCCTTCACATGCCTGCCTCTTGCCTCGGGACTGCACGAGCCCACGGCGTTTTTGCAGCCGCCCTTGTAGACCGTGGTATCGTCGGGCAGGCTCGTTACATCCCTTTTTGGCTAGGCTGGTAGAACATATGCTGCTCTCACCGTTTTATGTCTTAGGTGCTGAAATTCTGGAGGTGTGAAAAGATTTGGTAGGACTGCTCTTACGGGGTAAAACATACCGGCCTCACCATGCTCCGCCTGGGGCCCCTGCGCTTCTGGTCCCGGCAGGCGGCCAAGAGGCCAGCTGGGACGTGTCTTCAGCGCAGGTCCCAGGTGGGGGTTCAGTGTAGCGGCGTCTTTCCCACGGGCTGGGGCTGTAGCCGGAGCCTCGGCGCTTTTTATGTGGCTTTGGCCCGTGGGCAGCTCAGGGGGACGCGGACGGAGGGCGAAGAGCTGGAGAGGGCGGCTGTTGGGTCGTGTTGGTGGTGCTGCCCACCTCACGCTAGAGCAGCTCACGAGTGGCTTAAAAGCAGTGCAAGTCTTTGAAGACATATTTTTTTTCTCTGCCTTCATGTTTCAAAGCAGCTGAATTTATGCTTGGATTACTTTCCCAACCTTTTGTTCACAGCTCTGAGAACTCACGACCTGTTTTTAAAGGAAAGCTGAGAGTTTTACGTATTTGGGTGAGTCTGGGAGAAGAAGCTTTTGGAAGAAGAGCCAGGCTCTTTGCAGGATTGCCGATGATTTGGGGCGTCAGACAGCTTGCTCTGTAGCCCTGACGGTCTCCCTTCGTGAGGTTCATCAGGCAGAGAACGAGGCAGCGTGAGACAGACTCCTCTTACGAGCAGGGAAATGGGGGACTGTGGAAAGAGGGAACCCGCCAATGCCCTGTGCTAGTAATGGCCCTCTTCAAAACGCTTCTTGTTCAGCATCACCTTGTTGAAGGCGGACAGTTTGGAAAAGGGGTGACTAATAACATGGCAAGGCTGCTATTTTCAGAGCTTGCTATGAAAGAACAGAAATCATTTATAAGAATATTGAGCAACTGGATTGTGGCCCTGCTACAGGGCTGGATTATTTCTTACAGAAGGAAAAATTCCCTGTAGAAAGGAAGAGAAACTTTGTCAGTGGAGGGGAGACTGGCGGACAACGTCTACCGCATGCAAACACCTGCAGCCCACAACTTGCTTGAGCCAGAAAGGTCCAGGGGCCGGAGCAGGAACAAGAACAACAAGGTTCGGGATCTGCTTCTGGCTCCTGCGCAGGCTGGCTTGGTGACCTTGGCCCGGTCCCTTCTCTCCCTTGTGTTCCTGTTTGTAAAAGGAGGAGGAGAGTCTGTGGCTTTTGTAAAATGCTCTAGGAGCAAAAATAGGCTTGTGTTGAGGACAGTGACCAGCTGCTTGAAATGAATAGAGCCTTTGTAGGGGATGGTGTTCTTCCCCCTCACTTTAGCTCTCAGTTATTTGTGCTTCCTCAGGGATTCGGGATGGGACAGCAGTTAAACAAATGGCAGAACTGTCTGTCTTTCATAGCTTACGTACCATTGAGCATTATCTGCATTTTAAACCTATTGCGAGGCCTCTATTTTGCAAAAAGAAGTCTCTGGGTTGGCAGCTCCATGCCCTTTTGGCTCCTGAGGCAGGAGCTGATCCTGACCCGGTGGGACAAGGATGTACCAAGCTGCTGCGGGATGTGCTGCTCTGCGAAGGAGACCGAAGGTCACCGAATCGTTATCTCCGTGGCTGTTGGCAGCCACCACCGAGTGCAGTGTTCCTGCGATTATAAACCTTTGACTCCTTTCCTGCTGGTTGGTGCTCGTGCTGACAGAAGGGCTTGCTCAGCTCAGGCTTGCTGGGTCATTAGTCCATTGGCAACCGGGGTGGTTGCTTAGCTGAGACTCCTGCAGGGACGCGTAGTGCTCAGGGGTTGTTTTGGGGTGTTTGAGGGCAAACCCAAACCAGAGCCCTGACAAAACAACCCCTGGTTGGCTAGATTAAAAAAAGACTAAGGCCAAAAACCTGCTTGGAAAAGAACATTCTGCCTCCCTCCGTTTGTTCTGTGGTGGAGGCCAATTTTGTAGCTGTGAACGGCTTGGACCTCGGGGCTCTGCCCTGCTGTTCAGCCAGGCAGGGTTCTGCCCCAGCCCTGGCTGTGGTTTGGAGGTAGTCGAGATGCAGCTGGTTTTTGCTGTACTGCTAATTATAAAGTGCCAGAAAGTCATGTAACATTATTTATTTTCAGAAGTGTGTTTTCCTGGGGGAAAGCAAGTGTCGCAAGCTGGTGGTGCTTCCCCCGAGCTCCTCTTCCACCAGCATCCAAGGGTTTGTTGGTCACAGAGAAGAATTAGAAACCTCTGTGCTGTGCCCTTGGAGCCTAGATGGTAACATGTCCTCTGGCATTTCTCCTCTGCTGGCTGATCTTGTTCTTGCAGGATTCTCCAAAAGATTTTGGGTCCTGTGGAATAGTCCTGGGAAGCCTTTAAGAAGAACCTTGTTTGGTTGTTTCCTAAAACCAGGAGGTCACTTGTTTGTGGGATGACCTTAGATTGGTCCTGTCATAGGCCTGCAGTTCTGTTTCTAGTCTGGTAAATAAGGATAACTATTTTTAAGGGAACTTTGAAGATTCAGCAGTGACTGCTTAAAAGAAACCTTGCAAACATGTGCCAGGCTTTTGAAGGTCAGGACTGCTCAGAGCAGCTCTGCTCAGGGATCCCCTTAGCAAACCACAAGCAGACATCTGAAATCCCCGAACCCAGGCTGGTCTCATTCCCAGAGACGGACTCTGCTGCTCTTCATTGTGCCGCTGATCGTCCCCAGGACTGTCTTTAAGGGCTGTATAATTTTAGTAGGAGTTTTGCAGGGCAGTGGGGTTTACTGTGGACTCAGCCCCTGTCTTGCTGCCCCCCCTGCCTGGGCTCAGGTTCCCAGGTGAGCAGCGGCAGCCTGTTGGTATCGGCGGAGGAAAAGGGCTGTATCAAGTGCCGGGAACGCTCTGCAAGTTTAATGAGGCAGGAAGGAGGCGCGGGCAGCCCCGGCTTGGGTGCTGCTGCCTGGTTCCTCTCCCTGCATTACAGAATCAGGAGAACTGGGGCTATTTTGGGCTCTGCTTTATCCAGCATCCGCTTCAATTTATATTAGCGGAGACCCAAACTTGGCTCTTTTCTGCCCATCTCTAGTGCAGAACCAGCACTGTGTGGCTGAGACTGGGTTCACCTCTGCTTTATTTATTGTTTGCCCGTGTGCGTGGTGCTGCAAGCTATGGTTTTGCTGAACTTTCCCTGTGCTGCTCAGAGACGGGTGCCTGCTGGGACCTCTTTGTTCATCCCAGGACAAAGCAGTAATTCCTTAGCAAATAGAAACCAGGGTGCCACAGGGTGCCACGTATGTGACTCTGCGTAAAAGCAAATGCTCTGTTGTTCTACACAAGTGAAATAGTTGTGCAAGTGTCACGCTGAGACACCAAGCATTCGGAGCAGAAGGATACCTGACCGGAGGAGCTGGGAACAAACCCTCTCCCCTGCATCCCGGGCTCCTGTTCGGTCCATCAGACCTTTTCAGTCCCCTCCTGTGCCGGTCTGTACAGGCTGCTCTGCAGTGCCTCGAGGTGCCGGCCAAGGCAAGGGCTCTTCTGGGCAGCCCCTGCTCTGCAAAACAGCCCAGACCACAGGAGAGCAAAATCACGCTGGTGTGGCTGCAAGGTCCTGTTGCAGGGCAGAGCTGGGAGGAGAAGGCAGCCCTGCCTGCTGGTCTCCGGCCCCGCTGCCCCTGTGCGCGCACGGGGTCGATCTTCATGGTCACTGAAAGCTGCTTTGCTTTCCAGCCTGTGCCTTCGCTGGTCTCTGGAACTGTGTCACCATCAACCCCCTGAACATCGCGGCCGGCGTGTGGATGATGTGAGCAGAGTTTTGTTTCTTTTTTCTGCCGGGAGGGAGGTTTGGTTCATCAGATGCCGCTGGGCAAGGGGCAGAGCTGCCCGGCTTGGGCAGTGGACGTGAGGGAAACGTCCGTCAGGCTCTGCAGGCTCTGTGAATTGCCAGATCATGCTCCATCAGGCGGGTTGAGACACTGGGTTCATTCTATTTATATTCTTTCTTTACCCCTTTTTAGGTAAACACTGAGATACCCTTATCCAAAATAAATCTGGGGCTCCAGGGTCTGGGGATTATCAAGAAGCAGGGAGGGAGCACCGTGGGGTCCAGCCCCACCATTCCCTTCTGCCTGCGCTTGGGCACGGGAGCGGCTGGTCTGCGGGGCCCGGGGGGCATTGCTGACCCTCGCTCGGGGCCTCGCGGGCAGGATTAACTCTGGTTTGCTCTATCTGGAGGCTCAACGCCTTTGTCCTGTTCCTGTGCGAAGCCCCCTTCTGCTGCCAGTTTATCGAGTTTGCGAATGCCGTCTCTGTGAGGGCGGACAAGCTGCGCCCCTGGCAGAAAGCTGCTTTCTACTGCGGGTGAGGATGCTCCTGGGGTGTATTGTGGTGGTGAAGCCATCCCGGGAACCGTGTTGGGATGCACGTGGGCATGCCGTGATGGACGACCATCCCCGCATCCCGTGGGGAGCGGAGCCCATCTTTGAGGGCTGCCTCTCTCTTCCAGGATGGCTGTGTTCCCGGTCATGCTCAGCCTGACGCTGACCACGCTCTTTGGAAATGCCATTGCGTTTGCCACCGGAGTGCTTTATGGCCTGTCAGCGCTCGGCAAAAAGTAAGGGATCTGTCTGCTTGTGGAGGGGCGGGAAGGTGGACCCCCAGCCCTTGCCCCCATCCGCCTCCCTATGGCTGTGTTTCCCTCTTATATTAACCATGCTTTCAGGTGTAAATGCTGCCGGAGAACATCTCCCTGCCATCATCTCAAAGGCCTGGGAAGGAAGGTCCTAGGGTTTGCGGAAGCTCTGAGCTTTCCCCTGGGAGCTCAGTCTAGGTTGCCCTGTGGGTCCCAGCCCTTTTTCTGCAGCCGTTGGATGGATGGGCTCAGCTCTGGGGGTGGTGAGCAGCGTTGGTGGGGCTGGAGAGGGCCAGCAAGTCTCATTTCACTCCTGGCATCCCTCGGTACGGAGAGGCCCTGGCGCCGGTTGGGACATCTCTGTGCCAGGTGCTTACCCACCATGGTGGGCACCCGGAGCTCACGTCCCCATGCTGTCCCTTCTCTCTGCAGGGGAGACGCCATTTCCTATGCCCGGATCCACCAGCAGCAGAAGCAAATGGATGAAGAGAAGCTCACGGGGGCCCTAGAGGGACAGGCTCTCTGAAGCACGTGAGCTTGGTGTAACCTCTCCTGGACACTGAGATGGTGAAGATACAGAAATCCGCTCTGCCCATCCCTCTGCCCACTCCCCTCTCTGTTACGCCACAATTTCCCTGGACACTGCAGCAACTGGAAATCTCAGGGGCTGGGGCAGGCTGTGCCCTCTTCTCACACCAGCAGCCAGACCTCAGCGCGTTGGCCCCTCTCTCCTCCTCAACCCTCAACCAAATATCTCGCAGTGCCCCTCTTTTTTAAATTTTTTTTTCCTCTTTTTGCTGCAGAGGTGCTGGCTCTTTGAGTGCTGCTTTACAAGCCTGACTAGGTAGCCTTTCTTTGGAGTGATGCTTGATAAGGAGCCAAGGATGCAATGCTCCTTTGGGAACTGCTCTCCGGATGGGGCGAGGAGGGACAGAGCTGACGTGCCAGTTCCTTGCCTGCGCTGGTCTCACGGGAGTCAGGGAGCTGCTGGCCTCATGCCTGAGGGTAACCTGCCATTGCACGTTACGCATTTTTAGTAACGCTCTCTGGTGTGGCTTTCCCAGGTGTAATACACTAATCCAGGGTTTAGCAATACATGGTGATGTTTAAGCTTCATCTTCTGCCGTTGAGTATATTTTAATATGGGTCCAGTTAGGCCAGGCATCGGAGGCATCGCTGCACGGGAAAGGACTTCCAGCAAAAGCCCCATGTAAAGACAAGACAACAACCATCCCTGCAGAGGAGCTGCCAGAGGTGCTGGGGCAGATCCTGATACCTACAAAGCACAGTCCCCCCTTCCTCTGGATACAGCTGCAAGCAATTTACTTGAATTATAAGAATTAATTACTTTGTCTTAATAAGGGTACTTTTCTTAAGCTTCATTCTTTTGTGGGAGAAGGGAAGTGAGGTTTGCTTTACCTCAGCTGAAAAAGGGTACTATTGCTTGAGCCAAGCAGGGTTTCTTGCTGGTGTAAGGGTTACTGATGTGCAAGAGCATCCTTCTCTTGTGAGCCCGGGAGTCTGCTCTGTTGTTTTTCACTCCCTGCATCTGCTCCTGCTCCCGTGACCCATCCCTCCATGCAAGGGACCTGCTCTTTGCTTCTGTCTGGTACAGCCTTTGTCTTTGGGCTCACGTCCTTTTTGCATCAGCCCTGAGCTGGTTTTGTATGGGAAGGTAGCATAGCCTTCCTTTGCAAACATAGAGAAGTCTGCGCCATTTCAGTGAGGACAACTGGGATGTCTTGCTCCTTTATTCCAGGCTCCATCAGTGGTTCTTGCATCATATTTTCTGTTTGCTTTATATCATGCAGAACAAAACTGCTCACTAAGTCCAGATCCCCCTCTTCTTATCGTGGTTTCTTCTGGGGGTTTTAATTTATTTGATTTTACATGATGGCTTTTTATTTTTGTTAGGAAAAAGGGGAATAATTTATTTCTAGTTATTTAAGTATTTTGATGGGACTAATTTTCTCTGGACATAGGAGAAGGGAGCGCTGTTTCCTGTCCTTCAAAGGACTGCCTCATTGCACCGGGGGGTCTCCAAACCCAGGGAGAGCCCTGGCTGCTGTGACTGGGATGCTGTAACAACTGGGATGCTGTAACTGGGATACTGTAAAATCCTATTTCAGCCTTCAGAGCATTTCTCAGACTTTGGAAAGTGTGTTGTCCTTTGACACCTTTGTCTTCTGGGCCACTGGCTCGGCAAAGTTTGTTTTCCCCCACTTCTGGGAGAGAGAAGGGAGGAGAACGGGGCTGTAACTGCTGGACTGGGGGTTTGTACTCCCTCAGCAGCTATGGTGAGCAGCGGCAGCGGGGACTGCAGCCTGTTCTTACTCCCCTGCCCTGGGAGCTGAGCTCCTGCTGCCACCAACACTTCAGGGTCCCATTTGACTCACCGGGGTACCAGAAAGGTTGTGCTGTGGTCTGAGAGATGCTGCTGGAGGCTGAGTGCTGTCTGTCAGAAGAAGGGTCTGTCCGCCAGCCATGCTGCGGCTTCTGAGCTGTGTTGTGTTGGAAACTATCTATATAACATGTCCTTCCTCTAGCTACGGTGCATATTTGCGTTAGCTGAACGACACCAGAGCTTCCCTGGCAGAGCCTGGGATGGAGCCGCTGCTGGAGGGGGTGGCTGGGTACGGATGTAGCCTGCGCGTTGCAGCGGGAGCAGAGCGGTCCCTGGAGAGCGGGGGGCTAAGCTGCCGGCTAATGTTAACTGCTGTTTCTTCCTTGGAGTTCAGGGAGGTGTGAGGATTTACACCAGTCAGGAGCATGGCTTGGGTTTATTTACATGCACAGGCCCGTGCAGCTGGATGCTGGGTAGCCACTTTGTGCTAAGCCCCTCTCCCCCCAGGCCTCTGAACCACGATTGCTCTGACACCAGCTTGTCTGGGACGCAGAGTAGGCACCGCCAGCCCAGAGGCAGCTTGTTTCAATAAAGGCTGGGCTGTTTCAGAGCCCCTAGCTCTGGGCTGATCCCTGTTGCTGCATGCAATGCATGGGCCATTGGCCTTCCTTGTGCATGTATGCAGGGACCGCAGCCTCCTGCCTGGGTTGCTCAGCCTGCAGCAATGGGGTGCTGCAGCAGGAGTAATAGCCTCTCTGCTCTTCAAGCCAGCGTTGTCCCTGTGCAGTACCTTTACTGGGTAGTTCAAGTGCAGAGTCCTGCCTAGCAAACAGGACACCTGCTTTGATTTCAGGGGGGTTTGGGGAGTTAAGTAGTGTTTAGTAGAGGAATGTTGCAGACTGATGCACGTAGCTACGAGCATGTCTTTGGTAGTGACTGCTTTGCTCTGTGAGTAGTTCCACAGTAGCTTTAGTGACAGGAGGCAAAAGGCAAAGCAGAGGTGATTGATAGAGTAACACTTGCAGGCTGATCTACGCTCGCGGTGATGAACCACAGAACTGGTAGGACCCTCGCTGGCCTCATCTGACTGTCCTAATGCCACAGACCAGCAGCAGTCCCTGGGGCTGCTGCAGGCAGACGCTGCTCCAGGTCACCTGGAGGGCTCATTGGCATGGATGGGTCCGCTCTGCTCCCTTGGCACCAGCGGCAGAGGTCCCTTGGACGCCAGCAGCACTGTCATGCTATGTTTTGTGGCAGTTGGGTCTGACACTGGGGCCAAGGCAAGCGAACAATCTGCATCAGCTCTGCCACCGTTAGCAGGTTGCAAAGCTCAGCTCTGAACTCAACGCTCTTGTTGGAAATGGGCCTCAGGGACTCTTCTGTAAGAGCTGAGCTGGAGCCTTTGGCCACAATGCTTAAAGACACCAGGTCTGTTCAGTTTGTCTGTGCCTGCTGCCACAGGAGGTGTCTCAGATCCGTGCTCCGAGAGCGCTGACTCCTACAGATGCGTGTCTGGAGTGGGAGCTCTTGGGAGTTTCGGCTGCCTGTGGTGCAGCTGAAACCAAGCCAGATGCTGCCATCATTGCAGACATGGCTTGGTGACAGCACCCATAGCTTTTAAGAGTTGTAGTGACAGTTAGTAGACGGTCTCACCTCCATGTGGGCAAGAGGCTGTTTTTGTGGAGATAGAAAGGACTATAGAATAGTAGCATCACGGTAGTTAATAAACCCATTCACAGTGCATAGTGGTTATTAATTGTGTTTAGAGGCACCAACAGGGTGCTTGGAGCGGTGTAAGGATAAATGAAGTTAAAAGCCCTGCTCTAGAGATCTTATAGGCTCAACCCAATCCCTGCTGATGGCATCCAGGCTGGATGGCTAATCCATAGGGTCTCTGTGGAAGAGGTTCTGCTTGCCAGGTCTTGGAAGGGCCTCTTGGGAGACGATGGGACAGAAATTTTGTTACATGAGAACTCAAGAGTGGGTGATGCAGTGACTACAGTGAGTTATTGACGAGCGTGGAAAGACACCCAGGTACTGGCAGCATCTGCGCACTTAGCGATGGACTGTTACACCATTCACCACGTGTGCCGTGCATTTATACAGCATGCAACTCTTCCGTGTCCCATTCGGTCATGAAGCTGACAGCACTTGTGCGTATTGGCGCTGCTGTCCCCTGGGGCTGTCCATTCAGCGTGAAGAGAAGAGCAGAAGTTCGCTTTCTGCTGCGTACCCAGACCTCGCTGCTCTGGGCAGGAGCTGATTTTGTAACACCAATTGATTCTCTGTGTGTGCAGTGAATAAAAAGACCATTCTACCTCTGGAAAGAGCCACTGTGATTTCTCAGACTCTATATGTTGTAGCAAAAACCCTCTGACTTTCTATATGGAAGACAGGAGGTCACTCAGAAAATACTTCTCCAATGAGGTTCTTGCAGGACCTGAAGAGTCCAACCGCATTTCATATTCGGGCATTTCCTCCTTAGGCTGAGCCCTGGGAAGTTCAATTCATCTTCGTCATTTTTTCCTCAGGAAAAAACTTCCGCTATCTTCAGGGAAGGATTTCACTGAAGTGAAGATATCAAGACCTGGTCTATAGCCATGTGAGAAAGAGAACGCTCTAGCACAGGGCTGCCAGAGATCCTGATCTTCAGAAGGTCAGTGGAAACCAGAGGCTCTGGAGACCTCTCGTAATCAGGCCATGCTTAGAAACAGTCATATTCCAGCCAGGGCTGAACATCTTTTTGGAAATCGGTCTCAGCTGCAAAGGTTAGGTCTAATACTGGATTTTCTCTGTGGTTTTGATTTTGGCCCATCTCTCTTCCTCTGTCCCAGGCTGCTTTAAATTAGTCCTCTGATAAAACACATCTTCTCTTAGGTGATTTCTCTTATCTCCTGCTGCAGGGGATCTAAATAGCAGTTAGCATATCTTGAGATCTGGGTCAAATATGCTATGTTACCCCATGCTTCCTTGTCACAGCAGGCTGAATGTTCCAGGAGTGGGAGGACACAAGCATCTCCACCAGACCTCGGGATGCCAAGTGCATTTCAGGAGGTTGGACAAATGCTTGGGCAAATCATCTTCCAGCTCAGCCTGTGTTCTGCCCTTTTGGGAGGAGTTAGGTTAGATGTGAAATTTGTTTCTTGCAGCCATAACCACCTCCTGCAGCTGTGTTTTACCTAGGGTTAGGCTCTAAAAAAAAAAATAAAAGTCCTTAATCTTGCAGGACGCACAGGAGAGGGGTAAGAGCAATTTGCTACTAACTATGCAGTTGAAATCTCGAAGTGATGGAGGTGGAGGCTCCACACACAACCACGATGGAGGCACATCCACCTTCCTCTTTGTGGATGAGTAAAACCCTGGGGTGGGAAGGGCCCACCCCAGTACGAAGTATCATCAGTACCTACTGTGTCTTTCCTACAGTGACTCACTTGCACTACAGCTGAATGTTTGTCTGTTCCCATTCTTTGTTTTGTCCTGGATTTTCTTTGTGAACTGTATGTGGTCTTGTTCATTAGGCTTCTAGTGTAATGTGTGTTTTTAGAGCAATAAAACGTGGCAGCTTTTTATACAAAATATCTGGCTCTGCCTCTTTCAAAGTCCTTAAGTACATGAGACTCATCTGGGAAGCTGCAGGCTGCTGTGGTCCCCTTGTCACCATCCTGGTCTGCTCTCCCATCCCACCCACCTGCAGCTCCTTTCTCTGCAAATCAAGGCAACATCTTGCAGTTGGAGGCAAAACTGTTTTATTCTTGCAACTACATCATGGACTTTTGCCAAAACGGCTACAGCTGTTAACTCTGTTCCAGCCAAACCCTGGGGCTCTTGGGCTGCTTGGGTGGCTGCTAAGCAAAGGACCTGCATGGTCTCTTGTCCACAGCCACATGCTCTATTTTCCAGGACATCTTCATCTCCAGCCTGGTGCTGGTTACGTGGTCCCATACCTCAGGTTGACATGTTGCCCAGAGAGCAACAGGTAGTGTTGAATGATGGGAAGAGAAGGTAAAGTTCAGTTAGCAACTTCTACATCCAAAGCAAGATGGTCATTGCCGCCTGTTCCTCTCCCATTGCCTTTGCAGAGAGCTTCAGCCTCCACCTCCAGCAGCACAAGTGTTTTCTTCGTTGCCCTTGAGCATGTGGACTGGTGGCCTGGCACAGCTGGCAGATGGCAGCTCCTACCTCATGAACGACCTCCGGCCAGTCCTGAAGAAGGCCTCGATCTGTTCCAGGGATCTGCCTTTGGTTTCTGGAACGCAGCAGCCTGTGAATAAGACGTTCATGGCGCAGATGACAGCAAAGAAGAGGAAGGGCACCTCAAGGCCGAAGGCTTCCTGGAAAGCAGGACAGAAAGCAGACATGAGCTGGTTGCAGAGATGATCCAAGGAGGGGCTGCCGGACACCCTCCTGGGGCAGTACCCACCACGACACGGAGGAAGAACTGGGTCAAGGTGAAGGCTGTCAGCCAGCTCACGACAACACAGAGGCCCGAGGCCACCCCACGGGCTTTCAGAGGGAGGATCTCCGACATCAGCAACCAAGTGATGGGGCCCCAGCCCATGGCATAACCTGCAGGGGAGGAGGGGTAAGGTGAGGCTGTCGAGGCTTTAAAGCCCACTGGGGAGTGCAGAAGAGCCCTGTGCAATCCTGCCCTGCTCCTGCATTGATCGTTATTCCCCCCCATTCATGCTCTGTCAGTCCTCAAAGTGACTTCAGATGCCATCTTTCTTGGTCTTCCAGGGACATCTGCCTGCCTTCCAGCTCCAAGCCCAAACCTCCTTGCTCTGTATCACCCTGCCTCAGATAAGAAACGTCCCCCCAGGCTGGTACCCAGCCCTGTACTGTGGGTCCCAGGCTCTCGCTCTTTGCACCTACCCATTATGAAGAACATGGTTGCCAGGAGGGGGATGAGGGTGATGTAGTTTGAAAGGCAGAGCTCTCCAGGGTCTTGTTGGCAATGGTGCTGTTCTGAGAAGCTGGCACGAAGTGGATATAGAGCCCCATGGTCAGGTTGGAGACCAACATGACACCAGCTGTGGAGAGATGCAACAGCGCAGCAGGACCGATGGCTGAGTGATCCCCTCTGTGCCAAGGGCTGAGCTCCTGGGAATGCATCTGCTCAGGAGCTGAGCTACCACCAAAGGAAAGAGACCTCCCCACTCCCTGCCCAAGTGCTGTATGGCTGAAGTTTCCACTCCCGCACGTTTGCAGAGTTCCTGGAAATCCTTAAATAAGAGCTTCTCTTGCACAACAGTGGGAGAGAGACACACCTGATACAAAAAGAAGAATCTTCCTCCCAGCTTTATCCATCGACACAGCAGCGATCGCCACCGAGAACAGACGTACCAAGCCAACAAGAGCTGCATCGTACTCTGGTTTCTGCAATGGCAAAAGCAGTGGGGAAGCTGAGATGGGAGAGCCAGGGAAAGGGCAGGTTCCTACATGTGTTGCCTTGACTCTGGCCGATGCCTTTGTCAAAGCTATCCTCCTATAACAAGAGAGCAGAGAAGAAGAGCGTGAAGCTCAGAGGAGGAGAGCAGGGAGACAGCGGGGCCAGTCCTGCTCTCCATCCTTATGCAGCCTTTTGCAGGGCAGGTGCTTGGCAATTGCTGCCAACCAGGTGCTTTAAAAAAGGCTTCAAAGTTGGGGTGTTAGAGCTGCAGGGGATTGGGAGCATCGGGCAGCCATCACTGAAGACTGAGCAGTCCGAGCACAGAGCTCACCAGGATAACGGATGTTTTCTTGAATATTGACTGCAGGTACACAAGAACACAGGTGACACCAGAGAGCTGCTGCAGGAACCTCATCCCCACTGCGATCAGGATGGGCTTGTAAATGAAGGGGTCCTTGATCTCGGCACAGGAAACCCGCCGGCTCTGGAAGGGACAAAGCCAGAAAGCTGAGGTGTTACTGCCGCTGGGCTCCACCGCAGCACCCAGAAGACGGCCCAGGGGTTGCCCAAAGGAGGCTGGATTTTGCAGTTTTCACATTACATCTCTCCCGTGCTGGAGGTGGACCTCCTCACCTGCTTCCTCACACTGTCCTTGATCTGCTCGTATTCTCGGGCGTAGTCCGTGTCCTTGCCCCGCAGCCAGCACAGTGACCCCAGGGCCTCGTCATCCTTCCCCTTGGAGAGCAGGAACCGGGGCGAGTTGGGCATGAAGCAGAGCAGGACGATCATCGCGAGCACGGGCACCTCCCCTGCAACGGCCAGCCAGCGCCAGTCCAGGACCAGCCCTGCCGGAGCAGCACAGTTAGGAGGGGAGTCCTGGCCTTGCTTCCACAAGGGCACCCCGACAGCAGAGATTTAATAAATCCAAAGGGGGGGAAAAAAAAAAATCCCAAAAACTAGAGGGAGATTTTCCATGGTTTTCTCCTAGCAAAGAAGCGTTTTCAGCTGTTGTTCAATATGGGGAAATTCTAGCAAGCTCCCCCAAATCTTAGAGGATCCAGCAAGATCCTGCAGCAACCAGGGCACACGCTGGCAGGCGACGCACACGCAGTTCATCACATGCTGCCCTTCAGCCCTCGTGAAACCTCGGCAGGACCCAGGTCTGTAGGCACGGTGATGGCCAAGGGTCCGTGGGGGTTATGGGTTCATCCCTCGGAGCACACACACAAGTGCAGGTTATGCACGGGCAATCCTGTCCAGCCCCCCTTTGCACACCCGTGGTGGTGGTTGTGAGCTGGCTGAGAGGGGAAGGAATCCATCGACTTGCTGAGAAAGTTGTTTAAAATAAACTTCCCTTAGGCTTCGCTGAGGGTTTCCTGCCCTCCGAACCCCGAGATACTTGCCCAGCGCATACAGGATGAGGGAGCCCAGCACTGCCATGATCTGAGGACAAGCGCCCAGCATGCCTCTGACCCCGGGGTGGGAGATCTCCGAGATGTACACCTGGAGTGGCACAACACATGCTTAATGGAGCTGCAATATACATCTGTCACCACCAAAACCTGTCCTCTGTCACCTCGCAGTCATCCACTGCGGCCAGGGGAAACCCAAACTGCTGGGAAACTGCCCTCTCAGGGTGGAAACCTGACCGGTCCAGCGGCACGAGCTGGTCCTGGCAGGCGGAGAGGACAGCTTTGCAGGCACCACCACTTCCCTCCCTCACCCCGGCATGGGTGTGAAGCCAGCCGCATGCTCAGACTCCCATTACTGGAAAGATGGGCCTCAGGGTTACTCAATTCCTGCCTTCCCCTCTGCATGCAACACGAGGTCGGCATTCAGTAAACGCTGGAGGAAATAACTGCCGGGAGGAACAGGGCAGGGATTGAGGACCTGCCTTCCCTTTTCTGTGGGCAAGAAAGTCCGGCACCGTGGGGGCAGCCCTGGAGCTCTGCTGATGCCTCCAAAAAGCAGCGGGATGCCCCAGACTCAGTTACGGCACCGCTCTGTCTCCAGCCATGCAAATCCCGGCAAACTCCCTCCCACAGCACGTTACCGGGATGGAGGCGGACGTCACGCCGCCGGCGTAGCCCGTCAGCACACGGCCCAGCAGCAGCATCCCGATCCCCTGGGCACCGGCCATCAGCGCATATCCCACGGCGGAGGGCAGCGCCGAGAACATGATGCTCAGTTTGCGGCCAAGGCGGTCATTGAGGAGCATGGTGCTGAGCCCCCCCGCTGCCGCTCCTAGTGTGAACACCGACTGTGGGAGACACGGAGAGGGGCCTCAGCGGGTCCGGGCTCTCCCTGCACACCCACTGGCTCTGACCCTGGCCGCGGCAGGGACAGCCCCGCTCCTTACCCCGAACCAGGATGCTGTGTGCTGGTCCAGCCTCAGCGCAGGGCTGGGGTGAGCCTCGAGGGCTGGGATGACAGGCGAGGGGTAAACCAGGGCGAAGCCGAAACTGAAGTTTCCCAGGACAGCGGCAAACGCAGCCAGGTAGAGACGCTTGTTGTGGAGGCTCCTGAGGGAGGGACAGAGGGAGGAGGATGTGTTGAGTGCCCTTATCGCACCCGGCAGAAATTTTAACCCCGTCTTGTGGCTTCCCTCAGCCTTTGCCGAGGCTCTCGTGACACCCACGGAGGGATTTTCCTGGGGAACGGCCCTGCACAGCCCCAGGCTGCTGGGGTTTCTCCGAGCGGAGCAGCAGCTGCTCCTGCCATGTGTCGGGGGGCGAGAGCCTGTGTCCCCAGGCACCGCCGATGCTTTCCTCTGTGCTGGGCTGTTTTCAGTGGGTTCAACAAACTGAGAAAAGCTGCAGCCAGGCAGCACCATGGACCCAGCTGGCAGCCAGCTCAGTGGAGCCGGGAGGGGGTTCCTTCCAAGGCCCCCATGCCCCCCAGCAGGACCTTATGCCCCTGTGAGAGTCAGATGCCCAAAAGCACGCCCGCCCGCAGCTCTCCCAGGCGGGCTCATCCAGCACTGCACACCCTGGGCAGGATGAGACCCCAGCTCAAGGCAACTCAGGAACAGCAGCAGTATGGAGCAGCTCTTCCACCAGCTCACCCCCACCCAGTGCTCTCGGGACAGGGGGCACAGCCCACCCCATAGCCAGCCCCAGCCCGGCCCTTACCGCAGGTACTCCTTGTCGAGCCTCTTGCCCGCGCTCTCGGGGAAGGTCCGATACGAGGAGCTTGTCTTCCTCACGAGGGGCTCCCGCACGCTCGGCTCCATGGCAGTGCTGTGGCCGGGGCCCGCCATGGGGTGGGTGCCGCTTCTCTCGGGGCCGGATGCTCGGGGCTGCTTCTGGGACGGGGAGGAAGAGGCCGCTGAAAGCGAAAGGGGAGAGGCTGCCTGGCGTTGCCTAATCAGAGAAATCTGTGCCTCGTGGGCTCACGCCTGGCTGGCTTCTGGGGAGGAAACGGGGGGCCAGAAAATCAGCAAAGAGCCATGGGGAAACAATGGTGCCCTGCAGCCTTCACCCAGCGCCTGCCCAGCCCCTGTCCCTCCCACACCCCATCGACACCAAAACCCATCGCTGTAGCGGCACTTACAGGGACGATCCTTGCAGAACCGTTTCCACCAGCAGAAACATCCCTTTGCTAAGGCTACGTCTCTCCCCTCAAGGAACCGGTACCAGTTAGACTGGCCAAACGCTGCTTCTTTTTACAACAGCAAATTACATCCGCGTGAGCCTCTGCAGCCACCCTGGGGAAGGGCTTTCAACACAGACCAGAGCTGAGGAAGAGGAAGGAGAGGAAACGAGAGGGAGGTGAACACGGAGGGGGCTCAGGGATCAGGTGAGGGTGATGAAGAGCACTGATGAGGATGGAAAAGGGGAGGGTGGCATCTGTGCTACATTGGGTGCAGCTGCTGGGGGCCCCTGGCTGCCCACGGGTGCCTTTGCCCCCTCGCCCTGATCCCCCCAGCCCTGCAGGCCTCAGCGGGCAGCATCGTGCTGGGCCATCTGCAGGTCCTGGGGGGCTGCAAGGTCCAAACTCATCCTGTAGAAAAGGGGGAGACACACCTACTGGCTTTGCACTTGGATTTAATTAGCAAAAGATGTCTTTTCCCTAAACTACTGTAGTGCTCCTCTTGTTTCCGTCATTCACCTTAGTCTTGGTGCTTTTGGGACCACCTGGGTGGTTTCTGCACCCCCAAGCCTGCCTGGGAGCCCCAGTGACGCTTCGGTGTCAGCCAGGACCCACTA